GCCTGGTGTGTGTGTGTGCGTGCCCAAGATCCCAAGAGGAGAATGGAGGAGAAGGGATTGCGGCGTGACCATCCCCCTGGGGGGTGATTTCTCGCTTTCTGTCTCTGTCTCTCTCTGTCTGGCGAGCGCACGTGCCCTATAGCGGAAAAACCTCTCCAAAAAAAAATCATGTTGGGCATATGTGCAGGCATGCCCAGAATCCTGAGAGGTGAGTGAATGAGAAGGGATTGCAGTGTGGCTATCCCCCATGGGGGCAGATTTCTCACTTTCCCTCTGTTGGTCTGTCTGTCTCTCTTTCAGGTGAGCGCATGTACCCTATGGCAAAAACCTTAAAAGTAGAAAAGTTAACTAAAAAAAAAAAAAGTGAAATCTAGTTGACGTGATCAGGGAAGCCTATACGATGCAGGTTGTTTTGAGATGGATCTTAAAGATTGAACACAATTTCAGTGAGTGGAGGTGGACACTGTGAAGGAAGAAAAAGGGCTCCAGGCAGGAAAACCAACATATATAGATAAAGACAGGTTTAGTATAAAGTCCCAGTGAGAACTGGATGCCTATGATATGGCCGAGCACTGTGCTAGGCACTGAGGAAAATGGAAGTAAACAAGACAGGCACAAACACTGCTCTCGTGGAACCTGAAGTCTAGGCAGACGAGAGAGAATAAAACTTCTTTTGGCCAGACTGAGGAGTATCTCGCTAGTACCTTGTCCTGACTTCTCATACTGGTGCCCTTTCTTGTCATTGCAGTTCTGAGTGCTGGCTCTTCACAGCTTGCAGATGTCCCTTCTTCTAAGACCTGCCATCAGCTGATGGTGGCAGGTTAGACATGCCCGGGAGCTCTCTCTCCCTTGCGTACGGGGCTGAGAGGTGGTGAGCTACACAAAGCAGAACTCCCAGTGCTATTCATGCTCTAGATATCCTAGAATCCAGCTGAGGGCCAGAATTCAGCTGAGACACTCTCTTGCTTAGTTTCTTCCCTTATTCTGTCCTGCGTCCAACACTTCCTTAGAGAAATTTCTCAAGTATACACCACAATCGATCTCCTAGACTCTGACCTGCTTCTGGAGAACTTGATCTAACATAGCACTCATCACTTAAAATAGTTCCTGTCTTCTGTACATTATACAACAATTCTAATTTTCCTTTGAAATACTGACTTGAGCTGTCTGGTATGCCAATGTTTAAGTGCAGTGCACATTGTGCCAGATCCCACATGGCTGACCATGGTTTCAATTTGGCCCTGGTGTCTTGAAAAGCATGCCAAGTGGTGTGCATGCAAGTCTCAAATCCTGACAGGATGGAGAAAGGGAGGAAAACAGACAGCAGCGTAACCACTTGTGCTCTCTGGCAAGCACATGCACTCTCTGGTGGGGGCGGGGGAGAAGAATAATAGCAAGTTCACACTTTCCTATATCAGCAGAAATCTCGATGTCAACGTGCTCTCCTTTGGCAAATAGTTCTTTCTACTAGAGAAGGAATGTCACCTTTGTAGTGGCATTGGTACAATCATTTGAATGAAAACTAAAAGCCCAGACAGGCAATAACCATGTTCTTAATAAAATGGACACAAAGTTAGGAAAAATTGGGCATGTCAAAAGTGGAGAATATCTAATCTGTTCAAATATTTCTTTTCACTGGGCCTAACATGGTTAGGAGTATGTACAATTCTATGTACCCCACTGCAGCACTGATGTAGTGACAAGATAGTCGAAACAAACACCCATGACCAGGGGCATGGTTGAGTAAAGTGTAGTGGAAACTATACTTTGAAATCCTACAGAGCCATAAAAAAATGTGAGGTGCTTCTTTGTATACCAACTGGAAAAGTTATATTAAATAAAAAAAAAATAGCATGTGTTACAGGTTAATTTGTATCGAACGATTACTTTTGGAAATATATATATATATATATGGGGATGGAAATGTATGAATGTAGAGGAAATCAGAAAAGATATACATCAAATTATTGGCAATGACTTCTTCTAGGGGGTACTATATGATGGTATGAAATAATGGGAACATGCTTACTACGTTGCTACAGGATGATATTTATTTTTTAACATTTTTCATTATTTCTCAAATAAATAAAAAGAAATAATGTTGCCAGTTCTTTTAGCAAAAGTTTTCAGAAACATTTTGGAAATACACTGGAGAAGTTATAAACAGATGCATGAGATACGTATTTTTTAAAATAATGCAACTCATCTGTTAAATAAACCTTTATTAACTACAAAGCACTGTGATAAGCAATAGAAATAAAAAGATTAATAAATTATCCCTTTTCTCAAAGAGATCACAGAATACACAATTTTCAGTATATATCATATATAAACCCAGTTGGACTTTGATGGTTTATTTCAGTTTTAACAAATGTGTAATCCTCAAAGAGACTAATAAAACAGAAAGAAGAAGAAGAAGGGAAGTTGTTTTTATAAAATGACTAAATAGAGGAAAAGAAAGAAAACACAATTTGCTTAATCTGAGTTTGGTGAATCAGCATCTAAAAACCTGCAATTAAAATAACTTTCTGGGTTGTGGTAATACATATAAAAGCACTATGCAAATTGTAGGGCATTATGAAACTGATATAGACCATAACACTTTCAATTTCAAAACTAAGCACATATATTAGACTTGAAGGAAAAAAAGAGAACTATAAAGGAAAAAGCAAAAACATACCTGTGAAGTGCTAAAACACCCACCATCAGAGACTGTCTCCAATCAAAGGTTAATAGAAATTTTATATTTTTGGCTCATTCTGAGAGCAGATTTTTTAAAAAAATATAACTTTTTTTTTATGGAGACGTTTTTGCTATAGGGCGCATGCGCTCACCCAAAAGAGAGTGACAGAGAGACAGAAAGTGCGATATCACCCCCTGGGGGGATGGCCATGCTGCAATCCCTTCTCCTCCATTCTCCTCTCAGGATCTTGGGCACACACGCACACACGCCCGGCGTGAGTTTAAGCCATTGGGTCTGGGACTCGAACCATAGTCGACAACATGGGAGTCCAGTGACATAGCCATTATGCCAACTGCTGATCCTTTACTTTAAATTTTGACAGACAGACAGACAGACAGACATGTGCCTCCAACAGGGTCCATTGCACTGCCATTCACCCCTGAAAGATCTTGGGGACATGTACACACACTGGCATACAGAGGGAGGTCATGGTCACATGAACCCAGGACCACGTGGGTCCAAAGGCATTACTCCTGCACACCACCTGGCCCTAGAATCTTTAAGTCAAGTGTCAAGTTTGAGATATCATTTATGTATAATAACAGGCACCCAGTTTAAGTGCACGGTTAGATGCATTTGGACAAATACACACAACTATGTAACCACTGCTGCAATCTAGGCAGAGAACATTCTCATAGCCTCCAAAATTCCCTCCTACCTTTTGTCATTCATCCTCTACATACACTCCAAGCAACCACTGACCTGTTTTCCATCACTGTAGATTAGTTTTGTCTGTCTTAAATTTTATATAAAAAAATACACTATTCTTTTTATGTCTGGCTCCTCTTGCTCTGCATAATATTTGAGATTCATTCATGTTGCATCATATAACCACAGTTTCTGTTTATTGCTGAGTAACAGTCCATTGTGTGGATGTGCCATAATTTGTATGCTTATCTGTTGATGGGACTTTTAAGTTATTCCCAGTTTAAAGCCACTATGAATAAGACTGCTATGAGCACTTGTGAATAAGTTTTTGTAAGTACAAAAATGTGGATAAATATGTAGAAGTGGAACTGCTGGACTGTAGGGCAAGAGTATTCATTTCCTTTCTTTTAGTAGAAAGTTATTGTTCATTCCTAAGGATTTTCATGAATATATGATATGTAAACTTTGGTGATGATCAGTACTGATTTTCACATCTTTGTATTCTTGGCCTTTGAGTTGCTCATAGGCAACCCAGTGTCTAGCTCTGAGTGATGATCAATAGATGGCTATTATCTGTTACCTATAGGTCAATCTCTATCCTCCTAGAAGGTGTATCAGAATTACAAAACTGATCTAGGTTGCATCTGCATTCTCCACCTCCTCTACTTCCCCTGGCCCTCACCTGGCTTGAGTTCCATTTCTACCTCTTCATCCTTCCTGTTTACTTGCTGTTGCCTGTCATGGATAATAATGGGACGCCCCGAACCCACGTGTCCGGGGCCAGAACACAGAGAACTACTGTCACAGGCAACAATGTCACAGCCAAAGGAATATGTAAGGAAATGGACTTGGTAGCAACAGGCAAGAGCACATGTAATGAGAGGCGAGGCAGAGACCTCAGGCAGCCGCGGCTTTGACACTGCTCAGTTTCTTCTCAGACAAATGGAGATAGCGTTTAGCTAGTAGTTCTTTTTTTTTTTTTTTTGAGAGGTTTTTTTGAGTGTGTTTTTTTTTTTTTTTTTTTTTTTTTTCCAATAGGGCGCGTGTGCTCACCAGACAGAGAGAGAGAGATAGACAGAAAGCGAGAAATCATCCCCGAGGGGAGATGGCTATGCCGCAATCCCTTCTCCTCCATTCTCCTCTTAGGATCTTGGGCACGCACGCACACGTGCCCAGCGTGAGTTTTAAACCACCGGGTCCAGGATGCGAACCACAGTCGACTACATGGGAGTCCAGTAACATAGCCATTACGCCAACTGCTGGTCCCACAGAGATAGTGTTTAGGATTCACTGAGGAAGTTTGTCAAGATCTGTTGGATAATTATGCTATATCATGAATCACAAATATTTAATTGGTACATTGTGAAAAATTCTGAAGTTTTGGGACCAGCAGATGGTGTAACAGTTACGTTGCTGGATCCCATGTAGTCAACCACGGTTCGAGTCCCAGACCCGGCAGCTTAAAACTCACGCCGGGCACGTGTATATGCATGCCTAAGTTCCTGAGAGGAGAACAGATGAGAAGGGACTGTGGCGTGGCCATCCCCTGGGGGATGATTTCTCACTTTCTGTCTCTGTCTGGTGAGTGCACGTGCCCTATAGCAAAAACCTTTCAAAAAAATTCTGAACTTTTAATAAACATTTTAATCTAAGTGTTATCTTATTACTTTCTTTTTTCAAATGCACTGAATTTTATCTCTAAACTCTAAAGCTAGTCTGAAAATTAACAATTCTATTTGATCTCAGATAAGTATTTTCACATTAATTCTCAAAGTAGTATTCCATTTTCATAATGTTCTTCCAATAACATAACCCTTATTAGTAATGTACCTAAAGGATTTGGGAGGTTAACTTAATTCCAACACCTTAGAATGTAATAAAATCACTTGAAGAGTATTTCACCTTTTATTTTGAGAATAAAGCTTCATAAGATGCATTTTAATGAGTCATATCATGTGTTCTCTATCATCAGACTTGATAACTACTGTCCAGTGGAACATCAGAGGAGTAAGTGCTAGTACTTACTTTTACAACATATTTTTGAAATGATCTAGGGCTCTGGAAATGCATGGTAGAGGCTCATTTTCATTTCATTACCCTGTACGCTTATTTAATTAAGGCAAAATCTACCCTAACGACTGGTAAGTCTATACTACGTACTAAATGAAACTCGCAGTTCAGCAGCAGCAGCTGAAAACACTGCTGAGGCGTCACGGACCTCACAGTTCAGAGTTGGCGAGTATGCGTCAGGGAAAGTGACTGCTTACAGTGATCATTAGTGACTATAAGCATAGCAAACTTAGGGAAGAGGCAAGAATTACAGTCACAGGAAGTCAAAGCAAGTTTTCGAGGGGTCAAAGACTTGTAGTTCCAGACTGTCACTGCTGAAATTTTTCTTCAAGTTCATGCCTAGATCAGTCACTCTCTAATATTAATCAAATTTGCTGTTAGAAACATAGGTTTGGGCTTAGATTTCATATCTTCCCATAAATTGTGGTTTTCTTTGATTCAAATCAAAACACTTCTCAAAAGTTCCTGAGAGACACAAAGAGCAGTGAAGAAGTACCAGTAAACATCAGTGACGAGTGAGAAACCTCTCAACCTACCTGGTGAAGTTTAATGGACATGCGGATTCCAGGGACTACTACTTTTCTTAGCAATTCCATGTCAGCAAAGATCCATTCATCTCGAATTGAAGAAATACGGAAATCTCCTTTAAATAGGGCATGCAATCCATAGAGGAATGACTCTAAATTACTGTTAAGATTGGAAATAAAAGTTCACATATTTTGACAAAGATCTTCCATGACACTGGTTCTTATATCTGATTGTGTATCAGAATCATCTGGCAGAAATTACCCTCAGAACCCCTGAACCAGAATCACAGGAGATTCTGTTCGACCTGGGACTCTTATTTAAAAACCACTGAAATAGAGCAGGGCTAGCATACAAGGATGAATCCTTGCCCACATCCAGGTGGCTTAGTGGTTAAGGCACTGGACTCCCACAAGGCTGAATGCAGGAAGGGCTCTAGACCTGGTGGCTTGAGAATCAGGCTGGTACACTTGCCCAAAATCCCAGGAGAATGGAGAAGGGATTTCAGCATGGCTATCCCCTCTGAGGGATTATTTCTCACTTTCTCGCTGTCTTTCTCCAGTGAGTGCACATGCCCTGTGGCAGAAACCTTAAAAACAAACAAAAACCACTGGAATAGTGAGTCCATGGCTATAAACAACAAAGAGCCTATAAGCTGAAATAAATTGAGGGTCTAACAGAAAATATGTAGCTATCACAGAATAAATTTAAAACACATTGTATTTCTTAATTCTAACTCAATTAGATGTATACACCAGGAAATTCAGTTTACAGATAAAATTCAGTGCATTTGAAAAAAGAAAGTAATAAGATAACACTTAGATTAAAATGTAACACTGAGAGTCCCAAATCTAGTATATAACTACATTGAAAGTATAAATGATCTGGATAAAGACTCTAAGGAAATATGGAAAAATAAAAATAGGTGAATTTGTTAGAAAAACAGATGTAAACAGGACACCAATCAATCTTCATGGGGCAATTAAATTTTACAATGTCTTAAAACCATTAAATTATCATTATCAATAGCTACTCACATGTATGGATTTTTTTGGGGGGGGAGAGATTTTCGCTATAGGGCGCATGCGCTCGCCAGACAGACAGAGAGAGACATAGAGACAGAAAGTGAGAAATCAGCCCCCAGGGAGGATGGTCATGCCGCAATCCCTTCTCCTCCATTCTCCTCTCGGGATCTTGGGCACGCACGCACACGCGCCCAGCGTGAGTTTTAAGCCACCAGGTCCGAGACACGAACCGCGGTCGACTACGTGGGAGTCCAGCGACATAGCCATTACGCTAACTGCTGGTTCCCATGGATTTTTTTTTTTTTTAGAGAGAAAAAAATGTTTGCCAAAGGGCGTGTGAGAGACAGAGAGAGAGAGAAAGTGAGAAATCACTCCCTGAGGGGATGGCCATGGCATAATCCCTTCTCCTCTATTCTTCTCAAGGGATTCTGAGCATGCACACAAAACCCCAGCATGAGTTTTAAGCCACCAGGCCTGGGACTTGAACCGCAGTCAGTCATGTGGGAGTCCAGCACCTTAACCACTACACCATCTGCTGGCTCTCATGTGTGAATTTCAAAGCCAGTTCAACAGAACTGGCTAATAGAACTTAACTCTGGCCAGCAAAAGAGATCTAGAGAAAAAATCTAAGAGGTTTTTGCAATAAATTACTGGGTGATTGGAAAAGTCATGACACATTTTTTTCGTAGAAAAAGTATGTCATGTCTTTTCTGACAACCCAATGGCATAGACTGAATGCTTCTGTGGAAAGTTATTTCAGATTTAGGTTCCATAGCTTCTCAGAACAAAAATGCCTTCTTTACCTGGACATATGGTGGGATGCAGTCCCCAGAGCTCTCCGCCCCAGAACACAGAGTCCATAGCAAAGCGTCACCAGAGATGAATCCTTGTCCACATCCAGTGGCTTTTAAAAAACAAAGAATATTAGTTATCAGAAAGGTATATACGTATATAACAAATCAGAATTTATCTATTAAAGTATTTATTTCTACCCATAAGCTGGCAAGCAGGATATAAGTGAAAGCTTACAGTGATTATTAGTGACTATAAACATAGTAAGAAACATCAAATTGATATTCATAGAATATCAACCTTCCCCTAGACCTTTTTTTTTTTTTAAAGAATTATTTTATTTGACTTTATTTAGTCATTTCTTTTAATTTGACTGGAGAGGGACAGAATGAGAGAGAGAGAGAGAAAGAGAGAGATAGAAAGCAAGTTACCAGGTCTGGGACTTGAACCATGGTTGGCCGTGAGGGATTCCAGTACTCTTAACCACCATGCCACCTGCTGCCCCAACCTTGTAATTTCATATTTTAACAACTGCATACACCTTAACTATTAAAAGAAGTTGATACCTCTTTCTTATCCTAAGAAAGTCCAATTATAGTCACAGATATTTTATATATGAATATGTAAGTTAACAAAAGGCTTTGCCTAACACTAAAGAAAACCCTGGTAAATATATCAGTTACACAGAAATAATTATTGAGGGTAGTGGTTCTTCAAGTGCAGTCTTAGGACCAGCATCAACATCATCACCTGAGAACTTGCTAGAAATGTACATCTTGAGCCATTCCATACCGACTCAGATCCTGGAGGTGTGGTCTAACAATCTCTGTCCCGGTGATGTTAGTACACACTACAGTTGAAGAATAAGTGATACAGACTAACAATGAGCTTAATTATTCTAACTTTGGAAATAGTCTATATTTTGGCTTTATAAACTATCATAGTTTGGATAATGGTTTGATCTCCAAAGTTTCACATTTTGGAATCTGATGTGACGGTGGCTGATTGATAGGACTGCATCCTGGAGGTCACACTTGTGAAAACATTATGTCTTACTAATTATGAGACTCAGTGACATTTGCTCTAGTGAGGGTGGGTGGTCTCTCACAAGAACTGGTTGCTATGAACTAGAGAGGGCTGCCCCTGCTCGCTCTCTCTCTGTAGGTGCCAGCCATACTGGGCTCCCATGGGCCATGCCGCAAGTCTGCCCCTGCTCGCTCTCTCTCTGTAGGTGCCTGCCATAGTGGGCTCCCATGGGCCATGCTGCAAGCCTATGCTTTGGACTTTCCAACAAATGAGTTTTGCAAATAAACCTCTATTCTCTTAAACCCACTGTCTCAGAGTAAATAAGACACAAACTATTAACTTATAAATCAAAAAGGAAGACTGTCTAAGATACTAACCTAATATTAACTAGTTAATTTAACAGTCACTAATAAGATAATTTAATTAATAGTGACTGTGTTAAATACCCTACTTACTTGCCAATTAAACTGTTTCAAAGATGTATTACCTTGAATGCAGATATGAGGGAGAAAAAAGTTCATGGAAAAGCGGTTAAAGTACAAGTTTATTTCAGTGCAAAAATTTTTCAAATCCACGTATAATTGTTTTGTAATATATATTTTCCACCAACTTTTTTTTTTTTAAGAGAGATTTCTGCTACAGGGCATATGTGCTCACCGGAGAGACAAACAGAAACAGAGAGACAGAAAGTGAAAAGCCACCCCTAAGGAGGGATGTCTACGCCACAATCGCTTCTCCATTCTCCTCCTGGGATTTTGGGAACACACACACACATGCCTGGTGTGAGTTTTAAGCCTCGGGGTCCAGGACTTGGACCACAGTCAAGTATGTGGGAGTACAACGATGTAACCATTACGCCATCTGCTGGTCTCTCCACCAACTTTTTGAAGACTCTGTATACTCTAGTTTTAGCAAGCAAACTCTGAAAGAATGTGGGTCCAAGTTATAAAACAGTAAATACAGAGTAAAAAAGCACTAGTCTTAAAAAAATAAGGAAGAAAAATAAAAGACAGAGTGGGTATAGACTTGAAGTTATATAAACACATTTCTAAAAGTGATTATAACAGGTGATAAAATTATGGGTGATTTTTCTTCTTTATTTTCTCCTTTTTTTCACCCACACTGTCAACTTTCTATGGTGAAAATGTATTGCTTTTGAGATGAGAAAAACACATTTTAAAAAACATTTAATTCAAGCTTCTGCTGCTAGCCAAGATGAAGCAATAGAGACCACATTTAATCTCCTAACTGAAATAACCAATGAATTGCGCAAAATATACACCAGATTTTAGGCACTTGGCATAAGTACCTGGGAAGCAGAAAGCCAACAGGGTGGAGATAGGATCCATACACTGAGCTCTCCTCCCTCTCCCACTTCATCCTGTCTCCCTGAGATCTGGTTGCTGAGCTGGCAGGGCCTCATGAACACCTCATGACTATTCTCTCTCTTCATGGAATCACCTTGTGGCCAGAGCTGTTCTGGAGGCATGCACCCCACTCCCATGTCAACATTTCCAGATCAGAAGCTCTACTGGATTAATGGTCAAGCTCTGACAACTCTGCTAATCGATAACTGGACCGTGATCATCCTCCAACAATGTATACAGGAAGCAGATTCCTGTTTGGAGACAGAGTCTGTGTACTCTTCTCTCTGTAACATACATAACGTGAGCCTATGCTAGTGGCGGCATGGAAGCAGAGCTTCATACTTGAGTAAGTAAACTCATGACGTCCTCTGCTGGACCTCTGCATGTGTTCTTTGGAAATGGTAAACTCACAGCCAAGCCCTCTCAGATTTAGGGTCCCCTCCTCACACAAGGCAACCTATGACTGACAGAGTTTATTATTCACAATTTCTAGACCACAGCATAAGAAAGGGAAATACAGGTTGAACCTAGAGGCCTCTGAGCCAGCTAGAGTTAACACGGTCAAGTGCCAGAGAAAAGTGAGCTACAGAGTGACAGAATGAGAAAGAGAAAGCCCCAAATATCTGCAGTCCCTCTGGAGACTTCACGGAAGTACTCATTGACACATGCAAAAAAGACCCAAGGATGAGAGAAGAACCAACCAAAAGGGCCAGAAAAGAACAATGGAAAATCTGGTTATTCACTCTACTACTCAGAAGGGCATTATTGTCTCAGTAATGGGGAAAAATCAGTCTAGATTAAAGGCTGCTCTGATCACTCCTAAGAAAGTCCTGAAAGGATCAAACTGGACCCAAGGAATTCGTTAACTGTGTCACAGAACAAATTCAAGACTATTTATTGCTAGGCCAGCAGGTGGTGTAGTGGTTAAGACACTGGATTCCTTCATGGCTGATTGTCATGGACCTGGTGGCTTGTTTTCTCATTTTCTCTCCCTCTCTCTCTCTGTCGCTCTGTCTCTCTTTGGTGAGCACATATGCCCTATAGCAAATTAAAATAGTAATAAGATTAAATAAATGTAGGGCCACTAGGTGGCATGGTGGCTGGACACTCACATGACTGACCACAATTACATTCCCTGACCTGGCAGCTTGCTTTCTCACTTTCTCCCCCATCCGCTCTCTGTCTGGTAAGCACACATGCCCTAGAGCAAATTAAATAATAATAAAAAATAAAATAATTATTTTAAAAAGATTAAATAAATCTTAAAATGAATATTTTTGTACCACAAAAGTATCTAGTACCCATTGAAGTAAAATTCATAAAGTCTGACATCCAATCTAAAGCTGCCAGGCATGCAACATAGCAGGAAAACCATAATGAAAAGAATAATCAATTAACCACCCAATCAAGTAAAACTGACCCAGAACTGACACAGATATTAGAATTAGCCAGTAAGGATACTGAACAGTTATTATAACTGTATTTCCCCTAAATTCAAGACGGTAGAGAGATGACTAAGCATGTTAAGTGAGACATGGAAGATTTACAGAAAAAAAAAACCATAAAAAAAACCATTGGGACCAGCAGTTAGCATAATGGCTATGTCACAAAACTCCCATGTAGTCGACTCCCAGGTTTGAGTCCTGGACCCAGTGGCTTAAAACTCATGCCGGGCGCGTGTGCATGCCTGCCCAAGATCCTGAGAGGAGAATTTTGGAGAAGTGATTGCGGTGTGGCCATCCCCCCTGGGGGGTGATTTCTCACTTTCTATCTCTCTGTCTCTCTCTTTCTTTCTGGCAAGACCATGCACTCTGTAGCAAAAACCTCTCAAAAAAAAAAGAAAGAAAGAAAGAAAAAGAAAAAAACTCAAATTTAACTTCTAGAGATTCAAAAAAATTTTTTTTAAGTGAGATTTGAAAAACTACACTGGAGCTCTTTCCGCCATCTTGGAGCCTGTGGAGGCCTGCTGGGAACAGGACTTCTAAAAAGCAACTATGTCTGGAAGGCTGTGGTCCAAGGCCATTTTTGCTGCTATAAGCGGGGTCTCAGGAACCAAAGGGAGCACACAGCTCTTCTTAAAATTGAAGGTGTTTATGCACGAGATGAAACGGAATTCTATTTAGGCAAAAGGTGTGCCTATGTGTAAAAAGCAAAAAACAACACAGTGACTCCTGGTGGCAAATCAAATAAAACCAGAGTAATCTGGGGAAAGGTTACACGAGCCCATGAAAACAGTGGCATGGTTCGAGCCAAATTCCGAAGCAACCTTCCTGCTAAGGCTATTGGACACAGAATATGTGTGATGCTGTACACCTCGAGGTTTTAAAATAATGAAAAGTAAATGAATAAAAATGGATTTGTGTTGTAAAAAAAAAAAAAAAACTACACTGGACAGAACTAATGATACATATATTTAAATTTTTTATTCATTCATTCATTCATTCATATTGCAAGAGGGCATATGCACTCACTAGAGAGAGAAAGCACCTTTCAATGGGGTGTGATTATGTCACAATCCTTTTTTCCTCCATTTCTCCTTCCTGTCTAGATTTTGTGCATGCACACGCACCTGGCATGTTTCTGAAGCCAAGATGCTGTTATTCAAATCACAGTTGGTCATGTGGGGTCTGACCCCCCCATGTATATAGCTTTACCACTGTATTAGGGGTCCCCCAGGAGTAGTAATGTATTGAACAATATAGATGAAAAGATAAATGATCTAAAAAACAGGACAATAGAAACTATGCAAAATGAAACACAGAGGGAAAAAAAGGTCTGGGGAAAAAAATGGAGTGGCATATTGATGAGCTTTAGAACATGAAATAACCTAAAATAAATGTAATTGGAGTTCCCCCAAAAAGGGTAAGAGGGAATGATAGAAAAAAAACTGAAAAAATGATGCAGTATTTTCCAAATTTGATTAAAACAGTACAACCACAGCGTCACAGATCTCAATGCACCACAAGAACAAGGAACATGACAAAATGACACCAATAAAAATCATATTTAAATTGCCTAAAACAAGTGACAAAAAAAAGTCTTAAAAGCAGCCAGTGAAAAAAGATACATTATGTTCTATGTATTATTTTTTCATAGGAACAAAGATAAGAATGACAGCAGATTTCTGACCAGAAACAATGCAAACCAGAAAACGCAGTGAAAATAAATAGAAAATCAATTCAACACTGGTTGCTCTAATTTACTAGTATGGGGTAAGAAATGTGCTCTACTTTCTTTTAAAGTACACTAGAAAGTTTTATCAATAATTCTTGCTAATTCTAACAACAAAAGTGAAAGAAATATCTGTCATTCTTGATGCAGGGGACAAAAAGCAAGCTGACATGAATCCTTCTAATTTGGTTTTACAGGTAATTTTAACATATTTAAATCTGGGATTGAATCTATGAAAACACTAATTCAAGCACAATAGAAAACATACACAGCCAATACACCGACTATTTCTTTCTATTGTAGGTATAAAGAGAATAAAAGAATGGCTTTTTATTTCTGTGTAATAATGCAAGTTAGAACACTACTGCTATGGTTTAAATGTCCCTTCAAGCTCATGCTGAATTCAATTGCAGTTGTGACAGAATTAAAAGTTGGGGACCTTTAAGAGGTGATTAGGTCATTGGGAACCAGCAGTTAGCGTACTGGCTACGTCGCTGGACTCCCATGTAGTCGACCGCGGTTCACGTCCCAGACCCGGTGGCTTAAAACTCACGCCGGGTGCGTGTGCATGCATGCCCAAGATCCCGAGAGGAGAATGGAGAAGGGACTGCGGCGTGACCATCCCCCCTGGGGGGTGATTTCTCGCTTTCTGTCTCTATGTCTCTCTCTGTCTGGCGAGTGCATGCGCCCTATAGCGAAAACCTCTCCAAAAATAAAACAAACAAACAAACAAACAAACAAAAGAGGTGATTAGGTCATGAGGCCTTCCACCTCCTGAATGGATTAAAGCTGTTATCTTGGAGATGGGTTAGTTAGCTTGGGGATGGGCTCCTGATAAAAGAAGCCTCGTTTTCTCTCTGTCTTAATGCTCACTAGCCCTTCCACCGTGGGAAGACCCTCACCAGATGCCTGTGCCACGCTCTTGGACTTCACAACACCCAGAATAATGAGCCACATGAACAACTTCTTTATAAATTACCCAGTCTTTGGTATCTATTATAGCAGGAAAAAATGTACTAAGACAACTTCTTTTGAAAAGTAAAGAACAAAAGCCTGAAGTAGCTTTTTAAAATTCAGGTGAGGACGTGAGAGCCTGGAGACAGCAAATCCTTCCAGTTTAATTAATTTCTGCAGGAAGAAGCTATTCTGGAGTGAGTAGGAAAACACAATGCATAATCCTAGGGAAATGGGAATAATCCTATTCAACTTTAAAGAGAAACTAGAAAACAGAAGGGAGAGTGTATAGCTGGAAAAACACAACTGAAGGGATTACAAGGGGAGAATACAAACTGGACCATTAGTGAAAGCTGTATGAAGAAACTGGGGATGCTCTAGTTTGGAGGCAGACCTCTTGAACACATGACTTATCAGCAATTAGGAGAACTTCCTCTAGCTATGTCTATGACCTCAGCAATAATCTCTAAGAGAAGAGACCGGAAGTTTAAGTAGGATAGAAACCTATTCTTGAGTAAGCAGCCAATGAGATCCTAGCTCAAGTGACCAGAGTTAAAGCACGACAAAAGTAACCAATATTGTCTAAGCCAGAAAAAAGCTATCAAAATATGACCACCCCACCGCTAACTCCCAACAACCAAATAAAAGTAAGTCCAAAGACTTGACAACAGCATGCAAAGCATTTGAAGTATATTTCATCTATGAAAAGATAAAACTGCTTGTTATGTTTGGAAGAAGAGACATTGATCTTCAAGGCCCTCCACTTCAGGGATGTCTGCTGGTCTTTTTTCTGAGCCTCTTATGAGGTGATTTTATTTTAATCATTATTCTTTAAGCATATGCTACTCTGCTCAATATATGTCGCATATTTAGCATAGGGGCTTTAAGGTCACTGCTGAGAGGCGGTATAAGATGTTCCTGTTCCGACTGATGAAGTAAAAGAACAGATGCTCATGCCATGGCGTGCCCTGCTCTGAGAACCAGAGGGGAGTAGTAGTTATGAAAGTCTGTAACTCGGTTTACATGTAGGATAAACTAAGTTATCCTATTGTGGGGACTAGGAATTAAAAATCACTCACGGTTATAACAGATTTTCACATCCCCAGAGTAGAACTACTGAATCAGAATCTCTTAGGTGAGATGCAGACAGGAATCCGGATTTCTCCAAGTCCCTAGGTGATTTTCCCTCCACATTAACATTTAAAAATCAATGGTCTAAATGTATATTGTCCAATATGATAGCCGATTTAAATATATTCAATTTAAATAAAATGAAACAGAATTCAAGATTCAGTTCTTTAGTCACAGTAACCACATTTCAATAGCTAAAAAGCCACAAGTGGTATTGGATAGCAGAAGGAATCCTCATCATCGCAGAAAGTTCTTTCAGACAGATTTTGTCTTTGGGGCAAAATATTTAATTATCAGTAAGTCTAATATATAGAGGGGAAACTTCTGAAGGACAAGGATTTGGGAGGGTAATACATGTGCACTCACAGGGTGGAAGCAGTGGTAACCTGGACAGTGAAACCAGGACACTACAAATGAAAGAATGAGGGAGGCCACTTTATTTAACCTGTTTTAGCAGAACTGGTTTGGCCAAATCACAAAGAACCAGAAAGAGGAAGGTCTGGAAAAACTGACCTTGTGAAAATTAACAGGGTTATGTCTTTGGAGAAACATAGATTTAAAGAGTTGTACCTTTGCTCTTCGTGAAGAGCAATACTCTATCCAGTTGAGGTAAATCACACAGAAACTCTCCCTGGATATCCCTGCAAGTCGATGGTCATAGTCTTCATCAATGTTGGGGTTAAATGTTGGGTCCACATCAACATAATTTCGATCCGCACACAGACGTAGTCCTTCCTGCATTGTCTCATTAGCTAGCCACTCCTCTAACTTAGAAGACGTTGTAACATAATAAATGATACCCTAACATGGAAAAGATTAAAAAAAAAAATTTCAGGTTAAATCAGAATTTGTATTAACTCCAGTTCCTCACAGACATAAATTCTAACTCTTTCTACTGATGGTAATGACTCAAAAATATTTTATTCTAGCTTATACTCTATAATACTATACATCAGGCATTCCTATATGAAAACACACTTAATATTCAGCAAGGCAATTTCTAAACAATTTCAGTCTATTCGACTTTATAGCTTTTGAATTTAGAATAATTTAAGGGAAGTGAAAAAACTTTACTATGGTACATTTATTTTGAAAAATGTCTCATAGAAAGTTATGAAAATTAAAATCATTGGGGAATTCTAGGTTAAGTTACACAAACATAACTAATGATAAAGCAGTAGAAATATATTAATTTAGAACTAGAGACATAAAATGTCACACATATACATATACGAACACACATAAAAACTGGTGTAAAATCAATCTAGATCTCTAACTTTTTGAGGTAGGTTTAACCAAACATTAAATAGAAGGCTTGAAGGTCACTTTAAGCAGCACAATTAAGCTCCTGTGTAGAGGTAACAACATAGAACAGAAAGTTCAGATACGGCCATTAATGCTTAGCACACATTTCCTTCTTGAAGATACTAGCTTCACCTGAAAGCCCTCAAATCATGACTGTACAGTATTTCTGTAAAATCTTGGCAATATAGAAAACAAATGCCTTATGCAATAAAGGATTAATCTTGCCCAGTGAAAAATATAGCCCTTGTTCTCAGGTCCTGGGAAGCAGCTTTTAAACCTTGGGAATGTCCTGCCTGATGGTCTTTGTTCAGCTGGGGGCCTACTGCCACACGGAACCAATGTCACCTCCAGAGGTCCTGGAGACTTAGGCTGGCCATATGGGTGGTCAACCAAGTCTACATGACTGCACTACAATAAGGACTCAGTACACCAATCTCTGATGGTCTTCCTTGGTGGACAGCACTCTGCTATTACTACTGTGCCTCACTGCTGGGGATACAGGGACCTGCACAACTCCAACGGGAAAGCTCCTCACCTGGGTGTCTCTAGACACTGCCCTATGTACCACTTCCCTGGGATAATGCTAATCTGCACCCTTCCACAACGCATAAGCAGAGGGTATAATAGCTTTGACAAATTCGAAGAGTCCTTCTAGCAATCGCTGAATCCACATGCAATCTTGGGGCCCCCAAAATTGCAGCTGGTGTCAAAAAAGAGCATGGTCTTTGGGACCTTCCAAACTTTGCAATACTTTCGTTTAGTTTGTTGAAGGCAGTGCAAAGCAATAATTAACTGAGTGTTCAGGAGTCAGACAAGCCTGGGTTTTAAATTCCAAATTCTGCTTGCTAGTTAGAGAGTTTGGGGCAAGTTAACTTCTGATTCTTAAGTTGTCTATTTTTTTTTTTTTAAGTAACACTTTTTCAGAAAATTAAGGAAGAGTCACATATACGTGGGTACATGCACAAGTGTGTATAATCCTTAGCACAGTGGCTAAAACATAAACTACAAATGCTAGCTATTATTAACAAATGGAATGTGTTCTAATAAATAAACAGCAAGACCCTTGTAGATTGGTTTTCACCAATGTTGCTAGATACTAGACAATTAAAACCACTTAGAAGAATAGTACAATTTTTAAAAAAATTTATTCCAAGAAGAGCCTCCAATTATCTTACAATCTAAATAATCACATACCCTTACCTTGACATAGTATGTGGTAAGTACTTTCCGAAGATCAAAGACTTGAAGCATTGAAGCAGCACTATTATCAGTGATACTGTAACCCTCCAGAATGTACTTAGTGACTATCACTTCCCAAGCTAGCCAGCGCTGGCTAAACGCAGCATTAAATGAAAGCACGTGAGGAATATGGCCAGGTTCACAACAGCAAAATCCTTCATCTTCCTCTACACCTTCAGTAATGGCCTCTACTTCCCGTTGTTGACAGTAGGTACCTTAAAGAGACAGAGAGAAGAAGAGACAAAGACCATTACAAACAAAAGAGGAAAAAATGGGACCAGAAGGTGAGGTGATGGTTAAGGCGCTAGACTCCCACATGGGAGATCTGGACCTGGGGGCTTGAAAATCACACTGAGTGCATGTGTGCCTAAAATCCTAGGAGGATAAATGGAGAAGGGATTGTGGTATGGCCATCACCCTTGCGGGTAGATTTCTCATCTTTCCTCTCACTGTCTCTTTCTATGTCTCCAGTGAGCACACTTATGTGTTCTGTGGCAGAAATCTTAAAATAGAAGAAAAAACAAACAAACAAACAAAAAAACCAGGAAAAAGGGAGTGAAGACCTCAAGGACACAGGAAATTTAGAAACAGACACCTTTTATAGCAATTGAAAGTATATTACTAATTCGTCTTAGAATATTCATTATCAAATTGTAGCAAACTTGTGAAACCAGGCATACTATATCTATATATCTGTACATATATATCTATGTTGCAATTGCCAGAAGGTCCATGAGTTCACCACAAAAAGACAGAGAGGGAGAAAGAGGGAGAAATCACCTCTCAATGGTACATGGCCATACCACAATCCCATCTCCCCTATTTCTCTATCCCGTTGAGTTTGGAGCATACACTCACATGTCCAGTATGTTTTCGAGTTGCCAGGACCAGAATCTGAACCACAGTTAGTCATATGAGATCCATCTCCCTTAACTACCAGGCTATAGAAAGCTAGAAATCACCCCCCCCAGGGGGTATGGCCACACCACAATCCCTTCTCCATTCTCCTCTTGGGATATTGGGCATGCACACACATGTGCCTGGCACGAGTTTAAGTCACCGGGTCCAGGACTTGAATTGTGGTAGACTACATGGGAGTCCAGTGATGTAGCCATTACACCATCTGCTGGTCCCTAAATATTCATCTTTCACAGTCTCACAATGTTCATTAGTGTATTAAAAGTCTGGGAATTTGTACAGTAAAGGTGCCTCTTCGATTTTGACCATCAATTTCCAAACTTTTCAAATAGGCATACATTTGCATTCTTATCACATGAATGCCAAATGAGTAAAGGGACATTTCTGGGAGGTTTGAGTTCATTAAAAAAAAAAAAAAGCAGTGGAATGACAAGTGGATCATCCCAGGAAAACAGGAATATAGATAGGCACACAGAATTCCTAGGAATCTGAGCACCATTTTCTAACATCAGGCCCATGCTATAAGCAAAGACATTATACCCATCCTATTTTATTGGCTATACATACAACTTGTGATGGCTCATTATGATCTATTAAATACATAATTAAATTTTTTTCTGTTACCAACTCTAACAATGATGGGATAGATTACATAATTGTCATTTGAGGCTTACTTGCTGAAAAAGTTTCAATTGGGTATAAGGTCTGATTATTCTGCACCAGCAATCAAGTCTTTGAAGTTACCTTCTTTTATAAAATACACTTATCATCAAACAGGCAGTCTTTGCATTAGTGTTACATGAAGTAAAAATACAAAAAAAGACTAAATATAGAATTAGGCCCTCAGCAATCTAGCACCAGCAAAATATCTGTTATATTAATGGTAATTTTTATTTTGTTTTGTGATTTTGATTCCATTTAATTTGTGAAGTCCTTATATTATGTGAAGACTATAAAGTGATTATACTTAATTGTAATGTAGGCACATATTTAAGTTACTATAACAAAAATAACTTAATTGACTGCACACTTTTTTCTTTTAAAAGGAAATATATACTACCTATGTTTGAAATATGCCACTTACAGAGAGAGATGTTATGAAATCTTAGCTCCAGGTGATAGGGCAGTGTTAAGATGACACATGGCTGAAAAGGTTATTTTGGCCAAACTAAGGAGCTGTATTGTCTAGTACTCTAAAAACTTCAATAATTCTTTATTTTTTAAATTTTCTTTTCTAATTACACTAGCCAATTCCATAATAATGATAATACATTGGGTCATCGGGAAAGTCATGAGGTATTTTTCCGTGCAAAGATGCATCATGACTTTCCCGATGACCTAACAGGAGTGACAAGCAAAACCCTTATCTTGAGAGACAGCAGGTGGCATGGTAGTTAAGGTGCTGGATAAACATGGCCAATTCTGTGGTTAAGCTCCTGGATTTGGACACGTGAAAACAGGCTGTGTGTGTGTGTGTGTGTGTGTGTGTGTGTGTGTGCGTGCATGCCCATAATCCTAAGAGGAGAATGGAGGAGATGGAACTGTGGTGTGGCCACACCCTGGTGGGGGGGTGATTT